GAGAGAGAGAGAGAGAGAGAGAGAGAGAGAGAGAGAGAGAGAGAGAGAGAGAGAGAGAGAGGAGCGATAAAAGATTGTTGTGCGGTCCAAGGAAGAAGATGGCGGTCATAGCCGCGGAGCTCAGACGCGGAGGTAGAAGAAAGAAGACGAGTTAAGGAAGAGGGAGAGACGAAGGATGAAAGAGAAGCCATAGCCGAGGAGGAAGAATGGAGGGACGAAGAAGAAGAAGGAAGATATACTCGGGGTGAAGCGAGAAAGAAAGAGAAAGAAGAAAGGAGGGAGGAGGACAAGGAAGATTGGCGAGGAAGAAAGGGGTCGGCGGCCATAGCCGAACCAAGGGTTTACTAAGGTGTTGACCGAAGGGTTGACCAATGTTGACCAAGACTTTGATCGGAGAGTTGATTTGTGAGGTGTCTGGTGTTGACCAAGGCGTTGATCGACGAGTTGACCAGGCCTTGACCAGCGTTGATCGTGGTTGTTGACCACAAAATTGACCAAGCTGGAGTTGGTACATTCTCGCCAAGCCTTCAACCTATCCCCTCGCCCTATGGATGTGCACTCACCCCATGGTACTTGCTGAGTCTATCTGTCTCTTCTTTCTGCATTGAGTCTCTTTTGTCCAGGTGATAGGAACTGTGTATGTGGTCATAGAGCTTTGTTGACCAAACCCACACGGGCTGAGTAGGGCTAAAGGCTGTGTCTGACAACTCAACTGACCCGGAGGACACGAACCCTCCCACGGACCGGTACAGACCGGCGGGCTGCTCGGTGTGGCACAGTAGGCCCAAAATCCGAGTTGTGGACTGCACAACAAGCTGTCTAAGTTTTGAGAGGACTTGCTGATCACGTCGTCCTGTTTGCAACGTTAAATAATTCCTGAGGAGTTACGGGGGATCTCCTTAAATGCCTCCTGATTAGGAGTAAGTCCTCTAGTGACAGACATAGTATTAGGTGCAGGCAAGTGACAGTTAGTCAGTCAGTCCAGTGGGTAGGCCTAAGTGGTGAGGAGTGGGACAGTCACTGTCGTGCACCGGACACCATGGATGACTACCCTATGTACGGTCTGCTCCTGGGGTTCTCCCTCTGGGGGACCCTCTGGCATCTCCTCTTTCTGTTGGGTGTCTGGAACACCATGACGTGTAGAGTAGAGGGGTGGCGCTAGTACCAATCCTTACACCAAGGAGCAGGAGGAGGAGGCTGCGAGGATCTTGGCCGAGCAGAAGGCCAAGAAAGAGAAGGAGGTTGTGAAGCATGCCAAGAAGTTGGCCTTGCTACAGGAGAAGGCCAAGAAAGGAGTTGGAGGAGTTAGAAAGGGTGAAAAAAGAGGAGGAAGAAAAGATGAAAGTGGTGGATGCAGAAGAAGAAGAAGAAGAGAAAAAGGTGGAAGAAGAAGTGCCCCTGATTAGAAGAAGTATCCGGGACAGAGGCGAGACAAGTGGCACAAAGAAAGAAGATTCCTGGCTGGAGAAGAAGGTTTCTGAATGGGTTGCCAATCTGTCTCTGGGAGAAGAGGAGGAAGCGATGTTATATGTTCCCAGGGAAGAGCAGGAGACAGTCGTGAAGGAATTGGAAGCCGAGGAAGACCCCCTCAAACGGCAGACGATAGAAGAGGAGAAAAAGTTGGAGTGGAAGCTGCATCTGACCAGGGAGAGGAATAAAAGATTGGAGGCAGCGAGTAAGGTGGCGAAAGAACTGGAGGAGGTGAAACAGCTGAGGGTGCAGATGGAGGCACAGGCGGATTTTCAAGGGAAGATGGAGGTAATGGCAAGGAATATAAAATGCCTAGCACAGGCTCAGGAGGAGCAATACCTATTTGGGAGGAGCCATGATATAGCCCTGCGATCGATTCGACTGGGGTTTAGAGAGTTTGTACGCGAGATGATCATGCACGTGGGCTCAAAACTGCAGACAAGATTAGAGAGCACTAAGCGATTCTGTACTGGCGCCATAGAGCGCGCCAAGTTGGCTGCACCAAAAGAGGAGGAAGCTCATCCCCGTAGGGAGCATGTTAAGGTGAAGTTCCCCGACTCCTACAGTGGAAAGAAGGAGGAGAACTTTGACAACTGGGAGGCCAATGTCAACTTCTACGTGCATCCACAAAAGATATCTTATGACGAACATGTCCTAATAGCTTTACATGCCCTCAAAGGCGAAGGAGCAAGCTTCGCCAGGTCGCTGTGTCGTGCCGCTAATTGCAATACCCCTCTCAGTGAGTTCTTCAAACTGTTGCATGAAAGGTTTGCAGATGTCACACGAAGCGTTAGAGCTTCTGACAAATTGCAGACCATTCATTCCCGCCAGTGGAGGAGCGCCAGCGCACTCAAGGGTGTCATGGACGAGCTGGTCGCCGTTCCTGATCATGGGGTCACTAAGACCCAACTAGTCAACCTATTCTATCGTGCCATGCCTGAGCCCTTGTGAGGGCACTTCTTTGAGAAGAGTAGGGAGTCTACCATGATCTACGATACGTTGAGTAAGGAAATGGTAGCATTCGAGGCGCAATCAATGCCAGTTTCCACTTTTTGGCATAAGGACCTTGACAAGGGAAAAAAGTGGAAGGGTTGTACCATCTCGGGTCAGGTTAAGGGCAAGGATCACCTGATGCTTACATTAGATGAGGGTGGTATGGAAGAGGTCCCATGTGATCAGATAGAGTGGGGCCTAGAGGAAGAGGACAATAGCGCTAGTCAGGGGAGGACTTACGTTGTTGTCGCGGCTGGAGGGAGGCCGCAAGGAAGAGGGAGAGACCAGGGCCAAGGGGGTCGGGCCTTTGGTGGTCGTGGACATGGCGATCAGGGGTTGGTGGCAGAGGAGGCCGCCAAGCAGGAGGTAGGGGTCAAGGTCCCCCGCAAAACCGCTCTAGTTTTAATCGATCACCTTATAGGAGAGGTGGATGGCACCTTGGGTCTGCCACAAGGCAGGCCTTGGGAGAATTTGGGCTAAGAACAGACTGTTTGGCAGAGGCGAATAGACCAGGATCAGTGCATTTACTGCGGTGATCCGGGCCATATCATAAAGTACTGCCCTAAGTATAGAGAAGCCCGGTTTGTTGCACAGGCAGCAAAAGGCAACCGCCGGTAGGGGTTGCAACTGCCCCTATCCTTAGACCATGTGGAGAAGAGTGCTTGCACCATATAGATACTCCCAAACCACATGTGTCTACGACAGAGGTTGTTGGCCAGTGCCTAGACCGCTGTCCAGAGACTGCTTGTGTTAGAGTCTCTCTAGGCACTTCCCTCACAGGTGTGGTAAAAGAATTAAAGGAGAGGATGCCTACCTGGGCCAAGATGAAGAAGGACGCTAAAGGACAGCTACTCTTAGTTGACGTAGAGATTTTTAAAGGTAGAGTAGGGGCTCTTATAGACAGTGGGGCCACCCGCAGCTATATCAGTAGGAGAGCGCTGCAGAAGTTAAAGCTGAATTTGAAGGTCCAAAAGTTAGAAGACCTTATAGTCAGTATCCTCGCAGACAATCGCACTATGTGAGTCGAGGATTACGTTGAGGGGGTCCAGACGTACGTTCGCCTAGAGAAAGATGGGAAGGTGGAGAAAGTTCTCCATTCCCTGACTCTCCTCGTAGAGGATAGCCTTCATTTTGATATGGTCTTAGGAATGGACTGGGGAGAGGCAGCAGGGGCCACACTGCATTTGAGAGAGCAAGAGTGTAGGCTCCCTAGTCCCACAGGTGAAGTGAAGACTGCTTGTCTGTTTCATGCGTCAGGAGTAGACAACACTGGCACATTGTTGTCTTAGTGCTCCCCCTCTCGCGCGTTTTGTAAAGGAGCCATTAAAAGAGCAAGTATTTGTAGCCTATGTGAAGTTGGTCACCGAGCCTAAGGAGGAGAGACCCATAGACCCTGCTATTGCCAAGCTGCTGGAGGAGTTTACAGACTTAGCTAAGCCGCCGACAGGAGTAGTGTCGCGGTCGATCCAACATCGCATAGAGATAGAGCCTGGCAGCAGGACTTCTAAGGGTGTTGTGTATAGGATGTCCCTGAGGGAGTTAGAGGAGTTGCGTAAGCAGTTAGACGAGCTCCTCGAAAAGGGTTGGATTAGGCCCAGTTCGTCTCCATTTGGAGCACCTGTTTTTTTTGTCCCCAAGAAGGAGGGAGTGCTTAGGATGTGCGTAGACTATAGGGGTTTTGATGCTATCACATTAAAAAATGCAGAACCACTGCCCCGGATAGATGACTTATTAGATCGGGTGCATGGCTGTAAGTATTTCTCGAAGATAGATTTGAAGTCCGGCTATCATCAGATAGAGGTTCATCCTGATGATCAGTATAAGACAGCATTCCGGACGCAATATGGGCACTGCGAGTTTATAGTTATGCCCTTTGGACTTACCAATGCGCCAGCTGTTTAGGCCATGGTTAGATAGGTTTGTAGTAGACTAGTAGTATATCTAGATGATATCCTAGTGTTTAGTAAGACCCTCCAGGAGCATGAGGGCCATCTGAGGCAGGTCTTGGAGAAGCTGAGAGAAGCTAACTTCAAGATCAACGCGAAGAAGTGCGAATGGGCCAAGACACAAGTCTTGTACTTAGGCCATGTCTTAGATGGAGACAGCATAAAACCTGAGGATAGCAAGATTGCAGCGATTAGAGATTGGCCAACGCCCCGCATGCTGACAGAGTTGCGGTCGTTCTTAGGCCTAGCTAACTATTATAGGAAGTTCGTCAGGAACTTCTCTACCGTCGCTGCACCCCTTCGCAGGTTGCTAAAGAAAGAAGCAATCTGGAAGTGGGACAAGGACTGCACATCAGCCCTGAGGAAGTTAAAGCGGGCTTTGATAGAGTATCCAATCCTTAAGGTAGCCGATCCGTCCCTGCCTTTCGTTGTTATCACTGACGTGAGTCAGTATGGCATAGGTGATGTTTTACAGCAAGACGATGGCAATGGATATAGGCCCGTAGAGTTCATGTCTGCCAGGATGCCTTCAGAGAAGGTAGCGACATCCACCAATGAGAGGGAACTCTACGCTCTTAGGCAAGCACTAGAGCACTGGAAGCATTACTTGCTTGGGAGGCACTTCAAAGTCAATTCAGACCACGAGACACTAAGGTGGCTGAAGACACAGGCCAAGATGACACCTAAGCTTACTAGGTGGGCCGCAGAGTTAGATCAATATGACTTTGAAATTAAGCCAGTCAAAGGGAAGTACAATGTAGTTGCGAACGCTCTAAGTAGGAGAGCTGACTACTTTGGGGCAATAGTTCACTATCTGGATATAGGGAGAACCTGCAGCAGAAAGCTAAAGAAGCATATGCCCAGGACCCTATCTATAGTGACCTCCTCAAGAGAGTTAGGGAGGCCCCAGAGTTCGAACCAGACTACCGTACTACCGATGGATTACTATTTGAAAAGACTAATGTAGTTGACCGTCTGTGCGTTCCCAACAGTGAGGAGATCCATAGTTTGATCTTAGGGGAATGCCACGACACAGAGGGACACTTCGGTTGGCAAAAGACACTAGCCAACCTCATGCGCGTGTATACCTGGCCTGGATTGAAGGCTGAATGCATAGAGTATGTGCGTAGTTGTAAAGTCTGTCAGAGAAACAAGACTACTATGCGAGCCCCTCTTGGTCTTCTCAGACCCCTGCCTATTTGTGACAGACCCGAAGATTTTGTATCCATTGACTTCATGGATGTTGTGGTCAAGAGTAGGCATGGCAAAAGTCAAGTCATGGTTATAGTAGAGAGATTTAGGAAGTATGCTGTTTTCATCCCCTTGCCTGCAAAGGCACACACAAATTTAGTAGTTCAAAAGTTCTTTGACCATTGGGTCAGTGAGCATGGTATACCGATGTCGATAGTTAGTGACAAAGATACCAGGTTCACAAGTTAGAACTGGCAAGAACTAATGAAAGTCTATGGTTCCAAGCTATTGATGTCGTCTGGCCGTCATCCAGAGACTGACGGTCAAACTGAACAGATGAACAAACTCCTGCAACAAGTTTTGAGAATGTACATTAGGCCCGATCAGATCAACTGGGATGAGATGCTTCCCAAGGTAGCCAATGCATACAATAACAGCGTGCTTAGCCGCATGTCGCACTCCCAACGAGCTGCACAAGTCCTTTAGTCCACGCAGACCATTTGAGGGACTTAACCGGGATCAGATTCAGAGACTACCACCCGGTACACGAGAGTTTGCGATACAACACGAGAAAGAGATAGCTACCGCCGTAGATAACCTGTTGCATACTGTAAGGGTGCAGACCAGAACAAGAACCGACCTCTCTCACAAAGTACAAGATAGCGCAGCGGAAAACTTAGATACCAATGATCCGAACAATCAATATTGCAATGCAGCCCCGAACATACATCATCATCATCATCCCATGGTGTGAAGGGGTCTGGCGCTCACACAGGAAGAATGCGCCAGCCCCAACCATACACAGATGAAGAAGAGGGG